TTTTGGTTTTCGGTTTAATTTATAAATTCATTTTGGTGCATCACTAGATCATATTACAAATTTGAGGACAATTTTCCTAGTAAATACATGCATCGAGTATGTTAAAGTACTGAGAATCTAATGTATACTTTAATATAGAAGGTAAATAGAATTATGTAAATATAATATACAATTTTATATAGAATATTATAACATTTAAATAATAAATAATATAATAAAAACAATATAATACTTAAAAAGAATATAAAATTGAATAACAATAGAGCTAGGAAGTGAATCTGTTTAGAATTGTTGGGCTACAATGCTTTGATGTAAGGTCTGTCTAAAACTGCCGATTCAGGCAACATAAACTGACCTTTGTGAACTTTCCTCAGGTTAATGGATTGGCTGCTCAAGGCAAGTACGTCTCCTCTGGAACCGGTGGATCAGCGGGACAGTCCCTGTACGTGGCCAATCATGCCTACTGAACATCCTGTATCCCTTCGTTCCAGCTTCCGCCAGCCAATAGTATAGTGCACAGCTGCTACCCTTCCTGTCACCAACCAATCACAGGCCTATGCTGTCTTCTGTACTTTAGGGTTGTCATTGCAGTGTCTCATGTATCTATTTAAAATGTATTAAACTTTAAGAATGGAGAGGAGAAATAGAAAGGTACGCAGGAGATTGTTTTATTTTTTGAAATATTCAAAGCGTGGTTTCATGCTACAAACAAGAAAACAGTATTTTTTTGTGGCCCGTTTTAAATGGATGTATATGTATATCAGCCGTTCTGTTTTTATCATTCCAACATAAGTCATTCCAATTCAGGCACCAGCCACTCAAGTTGACTTGTCACATTCCTTGCAGTGCAGTATGACCTCATGATGATGTGTGGATGATGTGAATACTAAGTTCAGATCGGTGTATGCCAGCAGGGGCGGTTTATTATAATAGGGAATGAAACCGAGTAATATATTATTGCTAGTTATGATTAACTCCACCAGACTCCGAGGAATATTATTTTGTGTTGTGTTCACATATAATATTAATGCATTGTCTAGGCTGTGTGATTACTGTCCAAGAAATTTAATATAAAATACTAACAATATTAGTTTGAAAAGGACCATTATTTTGAAATTGTGTTGTGTTGTGTGCTTGAGTGTATCATGCTCTCCCTCTCCTCCCTGTATTTGTGACACAGTGCTACATGAATAATAACTAATATTGGTTGTAAACGGCGGAGCAGACCAAACTGGAGCTTTTGGGGAGGGGAGCACTCACCGCTCTGTTGACAAAATGTGATCTTGTGATTTGATGTTGTTCTCTAAGCACTTCGTGTGTCAGATGGTAAAAACTAAAATAAAATACTGTAAAATGCCAGATGCTGTTTGTCATTATTATGCAGGTGTATTTCATATACCTATTGCACACATTTTTAGCTATAACTTATTCCATTTGAGCTTTCCTCAACACCCTCAACAATTTGCTGAATTAAGCATGTTTACATAGATCTAAGTAAATGGGTCATTCTAAGTTATATAATTTAAATAGAAAACATTTAGCTAAACAAATAAGGGGTAAAATATCTGTTCAGTTTCTAAAATTAATGGAGGCATATTTACAAATATAGTACACCCTGGATTTCCATAATTGTTTTAAAGCATTAGAAGCACAAATGCAATTTTTGTGTGTTATGAGACCTATTACAGATGGGTTTGATCAAATATTACTAACACGAAATTGTTTATTTATTTACTTAATTGTAGTAAAAATATTTACTTTTATTGAAACCCAAATCTTTGTTAATTTAAAGGGATAATTCACCCAAAACTGAAAATTCTGTCACAATTTACCCTCTTGTCGTTATAAACCTGCATGACTTTTTCTTCTTTCTTCTGTAGAACACAAAAGAAGATTTATTTTTTATTTTTTTGATGGTAACCAAAACAGTTTTTTAACATTATTCAAAATATCTTATTTTGTGATTTGCAGAAGAAATAAACGCATATAGGTTAAACACGAAATGAGAATGAGTAAATAAAGACTTCATTTTTTTGGGAGAACAACTAACCCTTTAAAAGAGGCATTATTTTTAACTGTAAAGTGCTGCAAACCAGATATAATAAATCGGCTTTTTAAGGAAGTGAGAATGACACTAAACCCGCCCCCTTTAACTCTGATTGGAGGTTTCCGTGCCCTCTGTCGTCTGATTGGATAGAATCCTCCAATAGCGGGTTATGCGGTAGTTATTTCACACAGCAATGGCAGCCCTGCAGCTTGGTGAGTCCTGCTTTAATTCAAAACGATTGCCTCATTTTGCCTTCGAAATTATTTCAGTGTTCACGTATTTTTTTTTGCCACAGTTGTTGTATATTTAAAAGTGCATAACACTAAAGCCAAATGTCAGCGTGTCGCTAGCTTAGTTATGTTAAGCATGTTTTAAGTCAGGGTTGGGTCACTCACTATGTTTTTGTGAGTGAATAATGGATATTTTATGTTTTCCACAATTTCAATGAATATGTAGCTCCTATTTAGTCTTATTTCTTACTGTTTCATTTTGGTCATAGCAGAAAAGCAACGAGGGCGATATGCTGCCCTTGCCATCGCTGCAGTGGTCATTGTGGTGGGCATCCCACTCTGGTGGAAGACCACCGAGACCTACCGCGCCTGGCTCCCTTTCTCTGAGATCAGCGAACTCGACTCCCTCCAGGTAACACGCACTTCGTCCTTCTCAAGACAGAATCATGTTTGTGAATCTGTTAGTTCAGCAATGATATTTTATCGTGTTTTTGACAGCTTCAGCTAAGTGTTGATATCGAGGTGGTCTTCTCGCGAGGAACACTGACCCCAGAACAGCAGAAAAAGTTTCCACTTAGCCATGTCAATGAAAAGGAGCACCAAGTTGATGGTAAGTAATCAATTTCTGAAACTATTTGGAAGCTTCATCATAAAACAAATTAAAAAAAAAACAAAGAACAGAAATTTTGATCCAGAACAGAATACATTGCTCTCTTTTCCTCTTCAGCTAAAACAGGTTTGCGGTACAAATATGAAACCAGATATCGCACTGCCACTATAATGGAGGAAGACGCCTTGAATCAGCCCACTGCTGCAGGTTGAGTGGATTTATTGTTACTAGTAAATGATGATTTAAAACGTTCATATGATGTTGCTAAAAAGAACATTATTTGGTGTAATGAAATGTGTTTATGCGGTTTAAGGTTAAAAAAACACCTTATTTTCCACATACTATACAATATTGTTTCTCCTCTATGCCCTGCCTTTCTGAAACGCGTCGATCTTTACAAAGCTCATCGGTCTGAAAAGCGAGGTGTGCTGTGATTGGCCAGCTATCCAGTGCGTTGTGATTGGCCGAATTCCTCAAGTGTGTGACGGAAATGTTACATCCCTTACCATATTGTAATGCCGTGTCCCGGCCAGAGCGACGAGACACAAACATTAAAACCCATTATAAACGAGGCATTTGTTGCATCCAGTGGGGACATAATTACTGATTATAATGACTTAGGGGCTGTTCACATGTCGCGCCTAAAAACGCGTGGAAAACGCTAGGCGCGCCGCTTTCTGCTTTTTTCCAAAGCGTTC